TATGCACGTACATGTGGCGCAAGTACGTATATAAAAGCATAGAATATACGCATTCGTTATAGATTTACCGTGGCGTTCGGAACTCAGACGGCTCGCGCGCATCCTTGAAGGCGGCGTCAGCCTCTTTGTTGGGTTCACTCATACTACACCCTAATGGAACTCTGAAGTAGCGTGTTGGAGAAGTCGATATGTTTCATGACTGTCTTTTTATTTATAAATTTGGGTCGCCCCTCGAGTAGTATTTTTGGCGCCAACCTGTTTTAGTGAGATCACAAATTCACAAGGAGACTTAAAAAAAAAATCGGAGTTCGGAGCTCGGGCCGTGGGCCCGCTCGGTCCTCCTCCTCCGGTGAGTGGATTTGTCGATTTGATCATGTGTGAGTGAAAAGCCATTTTCAGTTTCATTTTTCTTTTTTGAACGCAAAACCCAATTTAGAAGAAGAAGGCCATGGCAAAGTCAACGGCTCTTTACGTGTTTTTGGCCTTTTGTTTATATGCTCATAGGCTTTTTAGTTGTGTTCATACTCAAGCTCTCAAGTTGAAAAGAAAAAGCAAGCGAAACTGAACAACCGCATTTCTTCCTATTCCGTACATACACTTCTCGACAACTATTCGGATAGGCTTATGGGTCGTGACTACGCAATATCCGCCTCACCCGCTGGTGGACGTCTATGAACTAACAACTAGTATCTACTGTTATCTCGGCCTGAGCTCGAGCTTCTCTCGGCAGTTTGTCGACCCATTCCTGTTCTCTGCCCTCTATTTGCCTCGAGTGCATCCCCAACGACAACAGTAGCTCACATTCTTGTATTTACCTAGACCATAATCGTAAACGAGTAAATCATTCCTGTACCTAACGCTTTTACGTTGATATTTACGTCCCACTATTGGTCAAGAACATGGCCATTGTGATACGTGACCATCTTGAAAATATAGAAATTAAGGAAGAACGGACAAGTTGTTCCGTATTTATTAGCTTTATTTTCGTAAAATTCTTATATTTATACAGCGAGTCATGTCTCAACTCTCAAGATCCATAACAACTGCTCATGTGCTCATTCACGGCCCGAAAAGCGCACAAACAGCTGCATTGAAGTTCGTTTCTCTTCAATAGAATGTATATAGCAAGCGCACCGATCTGGCGTCAGACTAGTAGCAGGACAACACCTAAATAGGGTTTTTGACATTGATGCGAATTCTTAAAACTTCAAGCATATATTTCTAGAATACATCAGCAGGTGACTAAGCACATACATATTGAGATATGCAGAGTGCTTTGGGGCGTACCTAGGCTTCACACTGCTACACGGTTCAACTACCCGGCTTCTCAAGATTAGTAGTAGAAAATACAATGACAGTTCGCTTAGCATTCACAATCATAACAGAGCACAACATATCGCCTGGTTTGTCTAATGAGATGTTTATTTAAATTCGATCTATCATCTTCCTTCGTCTGAAAGTATAAAGAGACGACGCTTGGCGCAATGATATGTTAGTCTTCTGGACAGACACCAAGCTGCTCAATCTCCAACTGAAATTCTCCTGCATATAGAATCTTTTCCGGGCAGTAGCCGATGCCAAACTTGTTCCTAAAAAATCCATCATCTGCAAGCATAGACAAGAGATTGAGGCCCCGACACAGTCCACTAATCTAAGCATCAGGCAAGCTGAACCAGGCCAGGACCAGCCGCTGCCTCGGGGCTATATCCAACACATGTCTATGTTGCAACCCGAGCTCCTCATAACACCCGACACCGAATTAGCCACGCTATCATCACTCCACCGTGTATGATTCTGCAGCGAATACTATATTTATGCACCGATGTTGAGCAGCATGTTGTTGTTGCCCGGAAGATACGCCACGCCTCTGCTGCGAGACAGAGTGCTGGCAATCTCTACGGCTGCGTCAATCTTCCTCATTTCAACTAGACCGGGTCCGTTCCTAGCAAGCGACTGTAGTGCGGTATGGTATGGGAGAGAGCGCTTGCATTACTATCACACTCGCACGTGAGACGGAGCAAACTGTATAAATATCAGTATAAACAATAGACAAAGGGATAACATCCGATGTTCAAAATAGACATTCGGATGGCATTATAAGCAGTGTAGGTATGGGATTGAATGTTCCGCTACAAACGAGATCGCTGATGGCATTGATTGCCAAAACCGGTTTAGTACGTACGAGTGGGATTACTATCCCCTGGGTTTCCAGAGAAAGCGGCTTAGGGAAATCCCATAAATGCCTCTCAGAATACCAGGGTTATATGGATACGTACAACATAACGGACAGTTGCTTCACCCAACGATAGTACAATGGATTCGTACAACAAAACAGACAGTTGCTTCACCCAACGATAGTACATAGGTACTACCGGATACAAGCGTCTCGCAAATGTTACTACAGCATTGCACTAAACATGGATATACTGGATTCTATGCGTAAACCCATTGCATAATCAACAACTAAGTTTGAGACGGTACACTTTCTACCAGTCGCAGTAGCATCACGATAACACCTGTAAGTTGCATCCCCACTACAAGCTAGAAACAGACCAGCCAAACTCCATAGCATGCATTTTCCACTCAGACGATACAGCAGGTAAGACAATACTTGCAGATATTGTTGCATGAAAAGATACTATACATACCCCTGAGATGAGGCGGGCAGCCTCGGAATCACCCTCAGCACGGATAATCTCAGCCAACTGCTCTTGTTCAGCCTTCTCTACAACGAAACGCGCGCGCTCGGCTTTTTGTTGTTCGACCTGGATTGCAAAGCGAATACAGCCACCGTGTGAGCTCATATCAAGCATATCAACGCAATATAATGCACATTTTGGGGAAATAGCAATATAAATATCTATTTATAATCACTTCATGTTACACTTCGTGTCATTACTTTTTGTCTGTCAGACAGACGACCACTAGAGCAACTACATTCACATACAGCTACCAGCTACGAATAAGTTGTCATGTTACGACCAAGACGATAGTGACATGGAAGTCATAACCTTCGCAAGATAAGTCTTGAACATATTTCTCTCTCCCCTGGGTTTCCAGAGAAAGCGGCTTCGGGAAATCCCATAAATGCCTCTCAGAATACCAGGGTGATCCTACAACGACACCCCACACAAAACGAGCCACTCGCTGAAATACTCGGGCTCTACATCTCTCTGTACGATAGAATTCTCTCACTACGTATAAAGCAATCCCAAGTATATACACTACAAATACTTTAAACCTACTAACTGCATAACATCACATCACATAGCAGCCCAAAAGAAATACCTGCTTCATTTCTACGGCTTGGGTAAACTCGCGTCCGAAAGTCAAGTGCGTGATGGAAATGTCGTCACAGGCGATGTCGAACTCGGCCGCACGGCGGATAAGACCAGAACGCACACGCTGAGATACCAACTCACGCTGTGTGATAAGCTCTCCAGCATCGAATTGGGCCTGTGGTAGGTATATGGGTAGGTGTATGATACTTTAACTTCACAACACTCGATATGACAGCGTATACAAGTTAAATATCATAAATACATAAAAACAGATGTCACTAAATGATTCGAGGACAGAAATGAAATCACATAGGGTCGAACAAAAATGATACAATACATACCACAACGGACTTCAGAACTTCGTTTCCAATGGATGGCAGCACTCGCTCATCGTAGTCTACACCGATCTCGGAGTATATGCGGGGAAGTGAGGCTTCTTTGGGTCTGTGCAGGATACGCAGAGATATGTTGACCATCTGCAAATCTGTTGTACAGATAGAGCAACAAGCACGTGAGTATGTGTATCGTATGTGTGCCTAGTAACTGCGGGTTATATTCCGAACTAACTGGATATCACCAATATACTTCGCGGCAGTATGTTATCACCAATTTGACAAGAGCTTATTAATGTACCGATATAACAGAATGACAAAAACATAGATAGTTAATGCCGTTGAAATGTTAATAATCGAAGTTGTTATGCCCTGGGTTTCCAGAGAGAGCGGCCTCGGGAAATCCCATCAATGCTTCTCAGAATACCAGGGTGACATGAGAACACATAAAATAGCACTCACTATTCGTTGTCAATTCGTACCTGCAGATAGATCAAGATATATCTATAACTACAACCGTATTATTCAACACAAACATCTAACCGTAAACCAGTGAACATAGATGTCTCTCAATAAATGTATATAGATGTGTAGATGTATATATGTATACATATCCGCATTGTACATACAGTCGCATGCCCGTTGCATCGAAAACGTTGAGACATTTCTTATTTAATCTATAAACGTAAAGATGTGTAATATTCAAAATAAATCCAACTATGACTCGCATAGTATGCAAAAAACAAACATTTAGAACCAGAAAACGAAGACATGTTTCGTATTGAAAAACCCCAAATATACTAATTTAAGACCGCACTATACACGTCTACACATACCCTTGGAACCAGTAAACGTGGAGATGTTCCTTGGTCGAGTTCGGCAGTCGAAGATGATAGGTCTTTGTAGCCAGGGCACAATAAAGTGGGTTCCCTCTCCGTGCACTTTCTGCTTCACACCCGAAAATCGATCGTAGATGATCGCACGATGACCAGCATCAACTGTTTAGTATTAAAATTCGGACAGAACTTTTTAACAGACGAGTACAACACTCTTATTCTCGTATATATTACAGCTTAGAAAGAAAAAAATATCTCAGGTATACGCTTGTAAAAGTGTTATTGAAGTAGCGTGTCGTCGGTGTCCACCACGTAGACCTTATGCGAGCCATAGGATGGTCAGTGGTAACGCGATACTTACTGATACATCCAGTGCATATATTTACGTTAATCTCAATTGTTCTGTATACAATGACCTTACAAGAACGCGCTACATCCGAGGTATATTCAAGTCCTCGGAGACCATGTTACCACAAGTAAGCGGTTCACCACTAAACCAACAGCTCTAGGTGCGCTTATGTTTTTGCAATTTCTGATAAAATTTTCAGCGCCATAGAAACCATATAAGCGCATTTACGCTATAAAGGGGTTGCACACGCTACTTATGACGTTGTTTGTTGCATGCAGACATGCTGACCTGCAGACACATACCGTTATATAGAGCGCTGTTTCCAACACCACCAACTACGGCGACGGCAAGGCCGAGCTTGCCTACGGATTCCAAGAGTTTAGCTGCTTGTGCTGCCATGGTGTATATACTATGAGTATGTTATGTGTCTTGTATCAACAACCGGTTGTGGGTGCGTATGTGTACGTATCCAAAAGCAGCGTGTTGCTGTTAACTTTTTTTGTCCGTGCCGAGTTTCAGGTGTGTGTCGATTGTCGAATACTATTATCGATTGCCCCCAGGCAAGTCAAAGTCCACGCGATGAGTGTCATGATACTCACACTAGCTCGTAACCCCATTCCTAAATTCGTAGGTATTGAAATCGGGATTTGGGTCACCAAATTTGATTGTCATCAGGTACTCCTCATAATTATGTTTATACGCAATTCTCGCCGTGGGCACTGTGCAACGAATTAGGACAAATAGAATCAGACCAAATGTATAAATCTAAGGTGAACTCCGAATTTTAGGACAAAAGTTAAAATATAAATAGGATGTTCGCGTATTTCTCTCACTTTATTGTAGAGTAAATATACAATAAAAAGCAGCCTTTGTATGTCGTAAATATTTACGACATTGATAATTTGCGATATATTGGAGGTCTTCGCTTGCTCCTTGACAGGCGCGTGGTGTACTTTGTGACACTTTCCTTTGCGTAGAAACAATCACAGCACTTTTAGACACATACCAACCAACTACGTATAAGCGCATATAGAGGAAGCAGTAACAAGGAAGCTGTCCGTATATACGCTTAGCTAATACCTATAGGTGATTGTATATAATATTGGTATACATTTAGGTGATTGTATATATATATAGTATTGCTATACATTTGGGTGATTGTATATAGTATTGCTATACTTTTGGGTGAATATAGTATATACATCTAACGGGCATCATGAGTTTGGTATATGACGAGTATGGCCGCCCTTTCATCATCATCCGTGATCAGGAGCAGAAGAAGCGCTTGACGGGGTTGGATGCACAAAAGGTAGGTGCTTTTGATGTCAATGTTACAACGAGACATGTGATATGTGATGCACAGTGTACGTGTACATATTTCGTTGTGTCGGTTATGTTTTGGCTTAAGCAGTGCGATAACTTATAATGCATCGCAAATAGCGCGTTGTTTGAATTACACATGCATATGGGGTCAAATAAAGGTATCAATGTGGTCGGTTAGAGAACGTATACAAGTACTATATCAATATCGAAGATCGACCATACTACTCAGGTCGATCAGAATGGAAAGAAAAGCTATGCTGGGCTCTAGCCTGCGAGTCTGATCGCGTACAGCCAAACTGTTGGTCAAATAGTGGAACATATAGGCATCTACGAGTGGAATACATCCTAGTATGAGCAGACACCTATCACTCCATATCAGATCTCATATATGTTCGCTACAATCCACACTCTTTCGGGCAAATAGAGACAATGAGTATCTATCATGCCAATGACAATATATGATCTAATACAATGCTTCCTTCGTGCTCCTGTTGTTTCCTTCTAAAGTCTTCTTTGCTTACGTCTAGAAATATATACTTATGTGTTTAGTGCACGTGCAGCATCATGTTGAATAGGATTTGGATAATGTGTGCACTAGTAGACGCCCTGCATTTATTTTGAACCTATTGGTGACAGCCATATACTTCCTTTCTGATGTTGAAGATAACAATATTCATTTCATACCATTGCATGCCTGTCATAAACCTGTATCCTGTGCACTCTATATGCATGCTCATTGGTATAGATCGGCGTAGACACTTTCACTCTGGATGAATAAAGGGCTGATAGAGTTCGTCGTGTCATAATACATTATTTAATCTATAGTATCCACAACTGTTCTGGATTCATTATGGTGTGGATTCTCTATATATATATAGTCGTTGGTAGTGAGCTGTATGCCATCCTCTTGTGTGTATATCATCGTTTCTATCATCGTCATGCCTCTTTATAATCAACGAACGAGCTTAGTGTGAACATGGACTGTGGGCAGTCGTGGTTGTATTGTTTTCCTATCGTGATTGTCATTCATTTAAAGATTACGTAGACAGCACGATAACTGTTTCGCGATAGGAGTATAGTGCAAGATGGGGGGGGGGCTAAGTATTACTGTGTCTAGACACCTCGTTTGTTATTACGGACCTGAGGGTGTATCGGGCTCCATTCGGTCTCCCGAGTTGTTTTGACATGGTCGCATCTAGCTTTTGCCCCATCCTCTCGTGTGTTCATTAGATTCTGCCCCATTCTCGTGTATTCATCTAGCTTTTGCCCCATTCTCGTGTATTCATCTAGCTTTTGCCCCATCCTCGTGAACTGCCGCGTATCTGCTAAACAAGTCAAACAGTACATTGTCCACTTTTCTCGTGCTCCTTTTGTGCACTGGTATCGTTAATTGTGCACGCCCAATCCGCGACCACGACATACTTCGTTCTACTTGTGTATGCTGCTGTCCTTCATTTACGGATATATATAAACGTTATATGCAGTGCACCCTCATGATGGTACGGGAGATAACATAGTAGTAATATACAGTTGCATTACAATTATTCTATACCTCTGGTCCTTGTGCACTGCTTACGTGTGCTCCTTTGTTTGTCTAGATGTCGTATCACTGGTGAATGCGCCCCCATATGTATGCCAGTATTCCATACTCGACACACCCGCACGGGATTTGGGGCGTAAAGTTACCTGTGACTTATAAGTAGTATCTCTATCTCTTGATTTGCAGTCACATATCATGGCCGCTCGAAGTGTGGCTGGTATCCTGCGCACGTCATTGGGTCCTAAAGGCTTGGACAAGATGATGGTCAGCTCAGATGGAGATGTGACGGTTACAAACGATGGGGCTACCATCCTGAAGAAAATGGTATGGGTGTTACAGGCTCGTGCTGGTTTCGTTGAGTGGTGTGTTGTACACCTTCGAGGCGTTGGATTAAATAGTTTAGCTTTTGTATGGTTAGTATTGTCTGTGTGCTATTGTTTAATGCCAAGTCTTGCAGTGTAATGTGAGTCCACGGACGGCGTCTGCATTCGTGCACGTACTTATGGATCCATCTGGGCACACGCTGATCACAGGACGTAAATAACCAAATTGCGAAACTACTGGTGCAACTGTCGACATCACAAGACGACGAGATTGGCGACGGGACGACGGGGGTGGTGGTGCTGGCTGGAGCACTGTTAGAACAAGCAGAGTCTCTTCTGGACAGAGGAATACACCCAATCCGTGTGGCTGATGGGTACGAAATGGCGGCGAAGATTGTGAGTGATCACCTAGATAGCATCTCAGATACAATTAAGATAGATGCAGCGGAGAAGGAACCGTTAGTAAGTGTTGCCATGACGACGCTGGGATCTAAGATCGTCAACAAATGCCATAGACAGATCGCCGAGATCGCGGTAGACGCGGTGTTGTCGGTCGCGGATTTAGAACGAAAGGACGTAGACTTTGAACTAATCAAGCTGGACGGGAAGACGAGCGGCAAGATGGAGGACACACAGCTGGTACATGGTGTTGTAATCGACAAGGACTTCTCACACCCCCAGATGGTATGTAGCTTTAAGTTTATCTTTATTATGACCGCGTAGGGTAGTATGCTGGGAAGTCCACAGAATTTTGATAGATATGGGAGTGTTTGTTATTTGAAAGTGCAGTGCTCTTTGTCTGATAGGTGCATTCTGCGGAGCGAATTTTGTTGTGTGTTTTTTTCTGTTCACACGCTACGGGGTATAAGCTAGTGCTGCTGGGAGAAGCTTGTCCGTATGTGTACACTACAAGTAGTTATCTTAATGTAGTCTTCGTTTGGTTGGATAGAAGTTATGTGTATGTAAAGCCCTACGGGGTACAAGCGAGTGCTGCTGGGAGAAGCTTGTCCGTATGTGTATACTACAAGTAGTTGTCTAAATGTAGTCTTCGTCTGATTGGATAGAAGTTATGTGTATGTAAAGCCTTAGGATATGTTCTCCTGCCGTCGATTGTACATACCAGCATGTGTCAGTGACGTACCTGTGTGTTTGCGATCCCATGCGAAATAGACATTTTCTGTGCTATACAGTAGCATGTGCTCATGCGATGGTGGGTTAATGGCTGCCGTTTTGAATAGTGATGATCTCTTTTTGAAGACAGCATCATTCGTAGTGGCTCCGAGAGTTCGTTCCCACATTAACGCGTGCACGTGAGCAACCGTAGCAGGTTTTACCTCAACGGTTGTGTTCCTTTTTTTTCTATGTCGCTGTGTGTGTGTGTGCAGCTGTCTACAGTGCATCATCCTCGTCACTGTTACCCGCACCCAATTACTTGTTCTTTGTGCATATGTATATGTATATATATATATCTTTTGCATTCACTCAAGTTTATTCATACCCATACACCTACAGCCCAAGGAAGTGCGTGATGCCAAGATCGCCATCCTGACCTGCCCCTTCGAGCCTCCTAAGCCCAAGACAAAGAACACGCTCACAGTGTCGTCTGCCGCAGATTACAAAGCGCTGCAAGAGTACGAACGCGAGAAGTTCGAGGAGATGATCAACGACTGTAAGAAGGCTGGTGCGAATTTAGTTATATGCCAGTGGGGCTTCGATGACGAAGCTAACCATTTGCTGCTGCAGAATAAGCTACCCGCTGTGCGCTGGGTGGGAGGACCTGGTAGGTAGAGTGCGTGTGGTGATGTACAGCTTGTCGGTGTGTCAGTTCTGCATGTCCGTGCCTGAAAACTCTTAAATATATTGCTTACTTTTTGGTGTATATGCATCGGATCAATATGTTTGATGTGCATATACATGTCTTGTGAAGTACCTTCTAGTGTGTGCTATATGCTGTACCATAGATTTTGTGTTCGTTGTTTGTCTTACACGGTGAAGTGATAATCAACACTAAGCCCTCTTTCTGTTGTGCGCCTGGTTTACTATAATAGTCGAATCGATAGAAAACATCAATCGCGGAAGGCGTTAAGGTTGATTTTGATATATCTTCCCAAGTCGATATGGCTATCTGGGTCAGCACGTATACTTAGACTTTTTGAACGGCATTGAATGTACAATGATTAATCGTGTTCCGTCACCTATTGATATTTTGGTTTGTCATGTCTTGCCATTGTCTGAAAAATAAGCCCACGAGGTGTCTCTTGTCGTTGTAGTACGGTGATGATATTCTCTCTGCTCTCGTGATAATGCAATTTGCCATACGAATGCATAGTACATTCGTATGCTTGGTCCTAATAAGGCCACGACCGTTTTCTCACATCATCGTACCTATAGCGCTGTTTGTCTGCATATGCGGGCTGATGTCTATCGCTATTTGTGTTCGACTACCAATTTCCCTTGCATATACTAGAAGGTACCACACCCCTCTCGGTGTCACAATATCTCGGACGTATTGACAATAGTATACGTCAACTCAGCGAATACGAATCCATGCGTCTCTTGGATTGTGGAAATGCACATTGCTGACAACTAATTGCCATCGCACTTTTTCACACTTGGAACTAATTCAGAAATCGAATTAATTGCCATCGCCACCGGGGGGCGCATCGTGCCGCGCTTCAGCGAACTCACAGCCGAGAAGCTGGGGTCAGCGGGGCATGTGCGGGAGATGGTCTTCGGAACATCCAAGGAGCGTATGCTGGTGATTGAGGAGTGTGCCAACTCGCGGGCCGTAACCATCTTCGTACGCGGTGGTAACAAGATGGTGATCGAGGAGGCGAAGAGAAGTATCCACGATGCCTTGTGTGTGGTGCGCAATCTGGTCAAGGACAATCGTATTGTCTATGGCGGCGGTTCTGCGGAGCTTTCCTGTGCACTCAAGCTCCAGGAGGAGGCTGACAAGGTGCGTGTTTCGCTATAGCTGCATGGTTTGGCCTCTAATGTGGGGTCACTTCATTCTCGTTTCGGCGTATTGGAGAGATTGTTGTATTATTGTAATCTCGAATTCATTTCTCAGCAGCTTCCTTGCATGCGTTGCACCTTCATAGTTCTGAATTCTCTGCAGAGACAGTTGACCTGCACTTTTTGCTGAGCGTGCTTATCATCTGAGAATGCTCTTTTCTTGCATCATCGTCACAGATCTCGAATGTAGAGCAGTACGCGTTACGCGCCTTCGGAGACGCGTTAGAGGCTATTCCTATCGCGTTGGCGGATAATTCTGGTCTTGCTGCAATTGGGCTTATTGCGGACATCAAATCCCAACAAGTGGCTCAGAATAATCCTCGTCTGGGAGTGGACTGTATGCAGAACGGCAGTTACGGTATGTTTGCTTGTATCATGAGCTCGGCAATTTACACAGGATTGATCAACGTGTGATCGTTTCACGCGTCATACTGTTTTGCACGGCGTTGTTAGACGAGTATGAGTGTTGTCGCCACAAAGTTGCTGTTTGCTGCGTGTTCTGGCCACAATGGCCAAAAAAAAGGCGTTGGTAAATTAATTCAACTTTTGCGGCACCAAATTTTCCAAGTACTCGAATATTATAATATTCAAGCTGTGCGCAAATGATATAATGGTGTTGCAAGTATGTACCGGTCGCCCACTGATAAATCTTAAAACAACATATTTTTCTCAGTACGTTGCGCGTTACATGCCCTCCATCAGTTGAGATGCCTCAGAAACTATACATCTTGAGTCTCATTATTTCTTCACGATTATATACATTGGGTGACCACCTACAGATATGAAGAAGCACAACGTAGTAGAGACCTTGATCGGTAAGAAGCAACAGATTATGCTTGCTGCGCAGCTGGTGAAGATGATTCTCAAAATCGACGACGTGGTGGTCCCCGAACGAAATGCTGGTTTCATTTAAATATAAATATTGTCACTAAATTTTAAATATACCTGCCAGAGTACTATACACTGTTTCGACACTAGGCTAAGCCAATGTGGGTTGATCGTGATTCGATAGTATAAGACACTTACCTCGAAAGATGGCTATACCTTCTTCAATAGGAATTCAACTGTGATGGCTTTGGATTGTAGTCGATGTATGTTTCTCAGGTTGGGCTTGAGTACTATATCTATCTTTGTACCAATCCGGATGTGCATGGGAACTTAAAGATTTAACCGGCGCGTCTGGAGCTTGCTATCTGCATATACTGTGATAGCTCTGTACTGCTATTGGTCGTGTCATCATTAAAATACTGTGATAACAAGTATTGCATATATAAGGCGGCGCATACGTCCCTGAAAATGCTAAAAGCGTTCCCTTTTCGCATTTTGTTATTATTAGAGCAAATTTTCTTCATATTTACTTCAGGCAAACTGGTTGCCAAACTATTGTCGCTGCATATACCTGAAAAGGGTGCATTAACGAATAAACTGGCCAGACCTAGTATAAACAACCCAACACAAGATGTACTGTACATGACCCTTGGAATCTACACGGTACGATCTTCTAGAAGTAAGCGGCTGCCGTTTTGACTGGTTGCAAGACCGCAGCACAAGGGAAGTCAATATACATGGCGTATTCGCTCTGGATATTGGCATTAGAAAACGCATCAAGCCCTAATAGTTTTATCACTTCCAGTCCTGTAAGTTTTCCCACATCAAGTCTTGATAGCTTTAACGCATCATTCCTTATTTGTTATATTCCATCAAGTTGTTTTTTTTTGTTTTTGTTTTTTAAACAAATTAAACCTTATTAGTCATCCCCTTCAATAGCATTATTAGGGTAAACGCATCAAGCCATCTTAGTTTATACGCATCGTGTATTATTTGTTTTCCCCATTTAAAGCGTTACTAATTTCAACGCATCACGACTTATTTGATTTAGCGCATGAAGTCGTATCAGTGTTCGCCATTTAAAGCGCTATGACCTATAACACAAGCTTTTTTAGTATTCGACATTTGCAACGTTACTGTTTAAAAAAAAAAAATAGTTTTCCTCATTTGAAGCCCTAACTTGAAGCTCTTAGTTTCAACGCATCTACTATGTGTGGAACATTTTGGAATAGAAATGAGTGCTGTATGTTAAAAAGTGATCGACGATCAAAGTGATAAGTCTACGAATTAAATATGCCACAACTTTCAGATGTAGTAAATGTATACGACATAAGCTAGGCAACGTGATGGTTAGAAACATTCTTTTAGCCAGCCATTAAGTAAAGAACTTAGAGGTGAGCTTATTGAGAGATAAAGATGGCAGTAGAAAGTAATACAGACTATGAGGTTCGATAAGTAGACCTGGAGTCGCCAGGTCTATTTCTTGAATATCGGCTGGAGACTTTAAATAGTGGCAGACACACTATTAAAAGCGAGGGCCGGGAATTGTGCATGCCAGGTCATACAACTTGTTATTTATTTTAAATATTAGAGTTTGCCCAGGTTATATAGTGTATACGACTGGCAATCTCTTTTGAACTCTTGGAGTTTATTTATTGTACTTGTTGCAAAGGTAATAAGTGGCTTAGCATATTACTATAGTAGGCTAAGATGTCTGCTGTATCTCCGTTGGAAAGCCTATTTGTGGTACCAAGGCACGGCAGTCAGACGAGTAGAAGGAATTATATTCCAGCAGGGGGCCTGGATAGTAGGGAGTGTGGGAAGATGAGAGATGAGATTTCATGAAGCACTATCTCCCGAGGTGAATTGTCTGGTGCATGAATTGATTCCGGAAGACTTCAAATCGCCAGCGTGGAGTAAGGCAACAGTTTGCAGCATATCAAAGACTTTGAAACCGTTTCTGAAGTGTCAGACAACATTGTCAGGACTTTGATAGTGGAGCTAGAGAGAAATACTGGATTGCGACACATGTATTTTGAAGAATTCACTAACTTGAATTACGAAGGGTTCTTGACAAAAAGGTTGCTGGAATTGAAGTTTATGCTGAATACTAAAATATTTACAAAAGATTGGTCTGAGAGAGGTGTGAGTCTCAAGACATGCTTTTGAGATTCCAGAAGGGCAATGTTTGGTTTAACTACTAAATGTGGTCCAATGCAGTTTGTAAAAGCGGTGTTCTCAGTGATGCTGGGCGAAAAAGAAGCAGTATCAGGATGGGATGAAGAATTAATAGAGGCAGCAACGGAAATGGAGGCCCTATCAAGATGGTAGTAGTGGACAGTCTACCGGAGTCCCAGAACGAGATGTACCCTTCAGCATACCACGTGGGAGGCATATCCAAGGTGGTCGAATCATTGAGATATAGTTTGGACAATACAAAGTTCAGGAAGGCTGTACTAGTGGGGTCCTTGTTAATAAATGAGACGAACCAGGTGTTGGAAGGAAGGTATATAAAAACAAATGAAAGAGCTATATATACGGGATGTTTTTACTGCAAGTATATGGATCATCAAAAGTACTTTTCAGGTTAGGGCCGCAGCTACAAAGAAAAGCCTAGCTGAGAGTCAGCAAGAAACGCAGACTGAATATCCACCATTTCAAAATACAGGTCCTGTAAGTGAGTTTTAGACGTACATGGCACCTCCAGAAAGAGCACTAGAATCGTTAGGTAAAAGCTAGTTTCAAATACTGTGGCAGGCACTTCAGGTACACAAGCAGTGGGGAAAGGGTCAGTGTTGGTGTGCGTCCAACATGGATGCCGGCTGTTGTAGATGCAAGGTGTAGTAGGAGCTAGTACCGCGACGCTGACCTTGGAAAAGCATATGAGAGTTAGCTACCAGTAGGAATACTGGTATCCAAGGTCCTGTGGGGCTATGCCGGCCCAGAAGCGACTCGGGGCTGTAGTGGGAGGCTGTGTGTAAAGTAGGGGAGTATTGTTATATATGGATACTGGGGCGGTGCCTACTTTGATTAGGGCGTTAACCACAGAGGTGGAACTTTATGGAGGAGGCTCCTTTCCAGGTATAGAAACATTGGGTGATTTGTACTTTTCAGGAGTAGTGTCTTTGGGAATTGCAATAGAGACGTGATAGGGGCAGGAGCAGGCATTGTTGCAGGAGTGTTTAATTGTGCCACATTTTTCTTATGGATTCGCGTTGTTAGTGAGCTATTTAAATATATAGCATAGGCAATATCATTTAATGTGGAAGAGAGAGGATCCATCAGGTCTTATTCGATCGATTATTAGTTCAAACGCATCAATTTTAGTTTCAACGCATCAATCCTTTAGCTTTATTTGTTTTCACATTTGAGGCGAAATTAGCTATAACACACCGCCTGATTACTTTTAAACGCTTCAAGCCCTATTAGTTTCAAAAAATTCGAATCTTATAGATTTTTTTCCCATTTGAGGTTTTATTCGTTGTTGCGCATCAAATCATGACTATTTACGCAACAGCTTTTTTCGTTTCCATGCATCAATCCATTGTAGTTTCAACGCATCAAGCCATATTGGATTTTCCTTTTTGAAGGGTTATTATCTATAACACATCGTCTAATAAGTTTTAATGCATAAAGACTTTTAAGTTTTATAATTTTTGGCTATATAGCTTCGGTTGGTTCCCCATTTGAGACATTATTAGTTATAACGCATTCAGGCTTTTCGTTTCAACGCATCCAGCCTTTGTAGTTCTAAGTTTAATCTAGTTTTTTCCCCATTTGAGGCGTTATTATTTATTCTCATCATCTTTATAGTTTCAACGCATCGACCTAACATGTCAACGCATCAAGCTTTGTTAGTTTACCACATCAGGCTTTAGTAGCTTACCCCATTAGAGGTATTTTACAGTTATAACACATCAAGTCTTATTTAGTTTCCCCTTTTGAGGCGTTATTAGCTACAACGTATAGTCTCATTAGTATCAATGTATCCAGTCTTGATAGTTTTATCGTATCAAGTCTTCTTGGTTTTTCACATTTGAAGCAGATTTCAGTTTCAACGATCTAACCGTACAAGGTTTCCCCACTTGCAGCGTTGTTGATTCTAAGACATCAATCCTCATTAGTTTCTCCCATTTGAGGCCTTATAAGTATTAACGCGTCAAGCCTTATTATCCTTAATACGTCGTTCCTTGTAGACCTATAAAAAGTACCGAACATTGAAATAAGCGAGGACCCTTTCCTAAACCAACAATAAAAGCAATACACACACTCCGCTTTCAGTCACATATACACGATCTTAAACTTGCTCGTATGTGTGTAATACTTACCAGAATCGACCCTGAGCGAGTGCGATACAATGACACAGGGTACTAGAATCTAACCATATATCGCAGTTGCAAATAAACGTAAAAACAAATTTATTGTGTGCAGATTTGACATCATAAACATTCAACTGCGGAATAAAGATCCTTGATTCGAGAGAGTCGAGGTAAGCAGTATACGTGTTTATATTGTATGTAAATAAGCTGCTTAGATACGTTGAAGGTTGATGATGGCAAGCTTGCCATATATCGACTCTGCAACCGCAGGCGGAAAATTTATTAGCATAACATATCACCTCGCAATAGATTGATGAACCAGAAACAACCACATCAATCGCATATTATAGCAAGGGTCATACATACACATAACGATATTCAAACGTGTCTATGTCGTACGAGAGTACTTACATAAACTCTTAGGTTGCAAACCGATCGACGGTGTTATACCCCCAGTTAAACGAGAGGAACATAAATAACGATTAGGCACTACAAAGGAAGCTTATCGTGAGGGGAAAATTCTGGAAGCGGTTGGAACGGGTGAGACAATGAAAGGTGCGAACTTATTGTCCCGAGCATGCATACGAACTTGGAAACAAACTCGTACCGGCATCGATTGTTGCTTGACTATGCGCTGTCCGAAGTGGGTAACCCCATACGAAGCGGATCCACAGCTGACATACTTGTGCAGAGAATTGCATGGAAACAGTAATAGTTTCTGTTGCCTCAGACATGCTGGTCTATGTGGATGATATTAGTATTTTATCTTTCTCTGAATACAGAATTGCTAAGACTCAACTATCTAAGTTTTGTGCTTGTATGTGCACACCCATTGACAAACAAGTGTTTTTAAACTCCAGGGGTCTAAGTGAGGCGCTCCCTACTGATAGGGTGTGACTACACTCGCCATTCTAGAGTCAAGAACGGCCCGCTGATTCGGCTACAATTGAAACCTGTTTTGTCTCGAATTCTCAACTGTTTTGTAAACGATTGCGCTCAAGCATGGTCTTGGGAATCATTGTTTGTACGTCCAGTGTGAATCTTAGTTCAGGACTACAATACATGCAAACCGGAATGCTTGGGTTTTCGACGTAATATGTAAAACAT